CGTACCTCCCATGCAGCCTCTGCCTGACAACGGCCTGCGAGCAGGCTAGCTACATAGGAGTTAGCCTTCCAGTTATTATTAGAGTTCACTGGCCTGAACTTCAGGTTACCATCTAGCGCATTTTGACACAAGCGGGCTACATTTCGTTGTCAATTTGTAAAAGTTTCGGATTTTTAAAGGTTTTTATATGATATTCAATCACGTTTTCTTTATTCCACCGATATAAGTTAAAGAATGAGCGATTCTGGGGAAGATTGGGACACAGAAATTAGCTCTGGCGTTTCAAAAACTGTGCATTGGATGACCGGTGAATCTAACTCCATTGCGAATTCGCAAAATTCTGGATTTTCTACTCCTGAAATACGGTTTGGTCGTGGAAGGGGAAGAGCTAAGGGTCCTTCAGACGATTGGCGAACAACCAATGGATCAAACAGTTCTGCGGCTTCTGCCTGGCACAATTCCGAGCGCAACCAGGATTTGGGTAATGCCTGGCCAAGGAAACCAAGAGGGGGGTTTGATTCAAGGTTTTCAGCAAGGGATGAACAGCTAGTACAGTCCAGGGGATTTGAATCTGGGGAGTGTGGGGATGGAATATCAGGTGCACGTTGGGGTGGTGGGGGAGCTTTGAGGATGGAAGTATCGAGTCGAGATGTGGGCAAGATTATTGGTAAGGTCCATCAACAAATAGATTCTGTCCACTGATTGCGCGGCCTTGTTCTGCAATTGCTTCAACCCCTTTGCGGACCAATCCAATGAACTTTTAGCCAGAAAAGGAAGTTTTTATCCTGATTATTTTGTACTTGTGGATTCAAGGCTGACCCCTTCCCCCCATTGTGGAACAAGTTCGCCATTGGTGGACGAAATCTCTTTGTCGACAGCCCCTAAGTTGAACCAAAGCCGTAGTTCTGTGGCCAGTCGTTAATTCAAAAGCAGCTTAGCTTTAGCCCCATACAGACAACAATATTTTCCCTGTCAAGTTTTCCTTTACAAGATTTATTTGCTTGCGTTATGGCAAAAATTGACAATTTTTTCTTGCCAACCTGTACCAAACATTATGGCGTGACATGAGCGATGTTCAGGCCATAACATACAACTTGTGTATCTCAAATGTGACGTTCTCAAGTGATACATTGAGTGAGACATGAGCAATCTAATGAGTGTGACAGTCACACAGTGATAGTTGCCATGTCTGAAACATGACATTTTTGTGTAAGACATGAGCAATAACGAGTCTGACAATCACACAGTGATAATCAGCGTGTCTGAAACGTGCCATTTTCAATGAAATTCACTGATGCTGGGCCATATATTTGTCAGGCCATAATTTTTCTCTGGCCTGATTTTGCTGTACTATATAACTCCAATTGAGTTTATGCACACAAGTAAATAACACACATCAATAAACATACCAAGATAGGACAATGATAATATGTCAAAAATACAAAGCAAGTTATTAAAAATTTAGTGATTGGAATTAAAAATAATTGACAATAGTTTACAACTTTTGGATAAAATACATTTGTAAAGATGTCTTTTGTTCAAGTATTTTCATGCATACATGTATTTTCCTTTCCAATCAACAGCGATTAAATTTAATTTATATTTCAAGATTCAAAGAACATCATGCTATTGCAAGATGCTTAAATTGCTTGATATTAAAAGCATTATCTTGTTTTACTAACAGACATATCATTCATTATGAAGGCAAGTTCATATTAAAATGCATATCTACATTGACATTAGGGCCATTTCTATTAGCGAAATTAAGCTGTGGCTTTGATGGCTTGTGAATGACTTGTGTAAACGTGAATTCGTTTGCAAGCAGAGGTTAAAATAAGACAACAGGGTTGAAAGAAAGCTAAGCTTAAAGTAAAACATTGCAAATTTACTGTTGGTGTGCGTCGACTGTGACTTTTCTGGCCACAGCTGCAGACTTTCGCCTGTGTACAAGCATCTAACAGCCTTTGTTCCTTATCTCACTCTGCCTTGCTATTTCACTGTAAAAGAAGTGTGACAATTGGAGCAAGACAATATGTCCTTGTGATGTCACACTCATTCAGGCCAAATTTTCGGCCATAAACACAATACAAATGTCTGGTTTGTATGCAGGCAAAACCAATTTCTATTTGTGTCTCACTCAATTACCGCTGCTTTACTTGGTTTATGACCAGATCCTGGCCGGAATCTCACTGAGGCTGGCCGGAATCTCGCTGAGTCAGGCTGTAATTTTTTGTACGGGAAAGAGTCTTGTTCAAAAGCTAGTCGTGCTACAGTAGCTTTTGGACAAGGAAAATTCTCTCATATGTAGGGACACAGATTATTTAAGAAATAGAAAACAGGTCAAGCGTGTTTATGGTGTGATAATGCACACAGGGAATGTTGGGAGGCGTATAGCTGAGTTTTTTACCCGGTTCTCAAATATTCTCCCAACATTCCCTGCGTGCTATCAACAAAAACAGTCATGGACCCGTGACTAACCATTGAATTTTGATTAAATTATTATTAATAATAAATTTAATAACTATTTAAGTCAGTGAACACTGCCAGTATAAAACAGCTCCACTTTTTGAACCATTCACATTTTAAGTGCCTCGCCAAACCAAACTTTAAGCTTTACACGTACCAAGCGTTTGAAACAATGCAGCATTTCTAAAATGATTAATTGGTGAACGTGATCATCAACAAAGTGGTAACCTGCATGACACCAGGGTTTTTTTCAGGATTTTCTCTTGGGTCCGTTTTTGCAGGGAAGATTGAGTTTAGCTGAACAGCTGGGGTGGCTGCACCCCCCCCTTACTGGGGAGCTGACACTCAATATATGTAGTTGAGATGGAATGTGTTAAAGCAGGGGCACTAAGGGACACTATAAACTGGTTAAAGATGGCGAGTGCGTAGTTTTTCTTGTGTTGCAAGATGAATTCCATCCATTTTTTCTTAATTGTTGGGCTTCCAACTGAAAACTAATTTCCACATGTCACAAAATTTTATAACTCAATTGAACGCCCACAATTTGGCTTCACGGCCCATCATAGGAGTTATCGTTCCAGTTTACTTATAGTTCAATGGCATGACAACGATTGTTTAATAATTAAATATTATCCAACCCTACTAATGTCTAAAGCCTTTGTTTCCATTAACCTTTGCTGTAGTCCATGAATTTCCTGATATATGGCAATCTCGTTCTCAGAGTACATGTATGCCTGTTCGCGGGTTACATAACCCGCGAACAGGTATTCTCTGGGAACGAGATTGGATATATGGCATTAAAAGTCTTTTAAGCCTGTACAAACCCTGCTGATTCGCACAATTTTCAAACCTTTTTTAAACTTTCAAACTTTTTTTAACTTAGTATAAGACATGTCAACTGCAGGGCCAGCTTGCATACCCTTGCTATGACACATGACTTTGCATATATATCATGTTATAGGAAAGGGTGGCCAAAGTATCAAAAATATTCAAAACACTTCTGGAACACGAATCAAGGTCAGTTTAACAGGGATGGATTTATGATTTATGGGAGGGGGTGCAGGAAGATGTAAGTCATTCCCAGTTTGGTATCCAAAACCAAATTTTAGTATCCTGTGTATATCAGGATGGTGCAAATTTCAGGCCCTGCATTATCCTACCAACTTTACCCCCTGTAGCTTGCTCTAGTGATTATGTGCTTGCAGCTGGTTGCACGCGCAAGCTTGAAAATAAGCGGCCGGTCAAGGACATTGTCCGGTGCGAAAAGGTTATTGTCTGGCACAACAGTTTGTCCGGTAGCATATTTAAATGGATACAACTATTGGTGAAACTTTCTACAACTGGCATTAAAAATTTAATTATGTTTCAAAATATTTGTTACTGAGCTTTTCATTGGCTTCTTTTATTCAAGGCCCACGGAAAACTATATTTGCTCTATTGTGTTCATATTTTCTGCCAGACACAAAATGTCAATTGTCCGGTGTACGTAACGCGAAATTTCTGACTTGCGAAATATCTGACTATTGCAGAACTGCTCATGCGCAGACGATGCGCGTGTCTGAGTGACTTTGGCTCATAAATTTCGCAACTCAACTGACAACACGTGTATAAAGTCATTTTGTTGTATAATATTTATACATAAATTTTCAAATTCTGCACTTGAATCGACACTATACCACTGGTTGTGAACGTTAGCGTTCACCGATAATAAAGCTTGAATCTAAAATCTGCGAATGAAAAAGGCAATCGAAAAGCGCTCTTAGTGATATAAAATGGAATCCAGAGTCCAAGGTGATGCTATATGCATTATTATAAGCACCAAAAATCGTTTCGCGTTTGACCTTCTCACTATTTAGAAGCAGCAACAGTGAGTTCGTGTATTGGCTGTTTAGATTTAGCGATGTTTATATTAGAAACATTTAGCGATACTATTGGTAAATGTGGACTTCATGACTTCATTTGGTGGAATTAATATTAGAATGTTAGGGTTTGGAATCCAAGTGAGAATATATACATTTTAAGACCTAACCAGGAACGACTGCGAAAAATGCAGCACAAGGTCCTATGGACTGGTAACGCCGCTTATTGACTTAAAAATTGTTTCGACCGACTCGGCCGCACGACACTTTGTCAGGCTTGGTTGTACCCAAGTTATAGTATGGCCAAGGCTTGATGAGTACCCCCGTACCAGGTCTCAGGGCATTTTTTAACTATATAACAACTGGGGCATTTACCCCAGTAGACCCTTT